AAAATAAAATAAAATAAAATAAAATAAAAAATTCAGAAGTATTTAACATCTTAAAATGCTGACTGGAAACTTTTTCTCTTCAGTGCTTTTTTGTTTTGTATTTTGGTTATGGGAGAAAGCATTTATCTGTATAGTGTGTGTTTTAGGGTTTCTGTTGCTGTAAAGAGATACCAGGACCACAGCAACTCTGTGGGGGCCATACCTATTCAAACTACCACAGTGCGGAGTCATTCACTCAATTTTGAGCTAATATTTGAGAACCTACTGCATACCAGATGTCCAAATAGATGCTTGGAATAATAGATCAGGAACAAAACAGATGAAATTTATGTCTTTGAGCTAATATTCTGGCAGGGCTTGTGGGAAGGCACATTTAAGAAACCCAGTGCTTAAGTGGGTAAGGAGATCAGGACAGGAAGATGGTGGGGGACGCTGTATGTAACTTTATGTAGGATGTTGGAGACAGTCTTGTATAAGTGGCAGCCTAAGTGTATCACCTGAATATATTATGCAGGTCAGTAATAGAATATGTATCTGGTAAATTTTCAAGCTGTGATGTAACTGAGTTTGGAAGACTTAGAATGATTCAAATTAGGAAAAATTGTATAAAGCTTTTTCTACAAAAGTGATTGTTTTTCAGACCAAGGTAATAAAAGATGTCAGTATGTCTTGACTCAGACCTGTTTAGGTTGAATTGCGTATGGTGAAGTAGGTATGTTCTGTCAATAGTAACAATATTTTGGTAGGTATTTGATCAGATATTTTAAATGAAAGAGGTGAATGAGGCTGTCAGACGGCATTGAGAAGTCAAGTTATGATTACAGTTCAGTGTGTATGAACTTCTTTTCTGTTTAAAACATTTTATTTATCTTTTTGCTTTGAAGCATCTTTTTATTTCTTTATCTAGTTTTTCTCATCATTCATTCATTCTTCTCTTTCACCCCTTTATGTAGTCATGTGAAATAGGTGGTTCCAAGGTTGATGGTGACAGACCTCTTTGTGTAGCCTAAGCTGTTTATCTGTTGGGAGTCACTTATAAGATTAGAACTTAAGATTAGAAAAAAGGAGAGGATGCAGTTTTCAAGAAAGGTCAGTGAATTTTTCAATTGTTAGTTATCCAGAAGAATAAATGTTAATGAGACTTATACTAAAGTTTTATGTCAAAAATTTTAACACATAATATCTATTACCATGTTAACAAGTGACATGAAAACTCAGTGTTTAAAATAACCTAATTTGTTATCTTTGTTTTCTGTGGGTCAGAAGCGTTCGTGCTAGCAAGGAGAGTGTATAGTTACTTTTACACCACTGCTACCACCTGACAGACTCTGATTAAGAGAATCAAGGTTTATTTTGGCTCATGATCTCTGAAGTTTCAGCCTGTTGGGGTGGGGAATGCGTGGTAGAGTGCATAGTGGTAGCAGTGTGTGATGAAGGGCTGTATGTCATGGTGGATCACAAAGCAGAGAGTGACTGGCATCAGGTATAACCTTCAGCAGATGTCCCTTAGTAACTTACTTTTGCAGGATAGCTCTCCTACCTCCTAAAGGTTACATAGCTTCCCAGACAGTACCAGCCCATGAGCAAGTGCTTGAATCTGTGTAAGACATTTCAGATTCAATCCTAACAGTTTGTCTTCTGGCTCTCGTTCTCTTCAACATTGCTGCTGATGTGTCTGCTACACAACCTGAAGGCCTGATACAGGTGTCGGTATTAAGGGTGTGTGGAGGGGTGGGTCCACCTAAGATCCTACATGTGTTCCCATGTCCTTACATGGTGTTAGGCAGAGATAACGGTTCTCTGCCATTTGGGTCTTCCCAGAGGGCACCTTTTAATAACATTGGCTTTCCCTAGAGCAAGTGCAGTGAGAGCTGTGAGCAGAAGAGGTAGGTCCCCAAGAGAAGGATCAATAACACAGAGGTCACAGGCTTTTTATTTTTATTAATGTGTGTGTGTGTTTTCTGTATGTAGTATGTACACTGTGTGCTTGAGTGTCTGGTGCCCATGGAGGCAGGAAGAGGGCACTAGGTACCCTGGAATTGGAGTCACAGTTGGCT